CTGTTCGATGTAAATGAAGGCCTGTATAAGGGCGTGCACGATGTAAACAAAGCGGGCATCGTCCTTCAGGTCGAATATACGGATGTTGGAACGTTTCCTTTGCGCGGCCAGTCGATGCCTCCGTGGCGGGGACGGTTTGAAACTCCGACCGCGTGGCTGGCGGTGGGGGCGTTCCTGCGTGTGTACATCGGCGTAGGTGACGATATTGGTCGGCTGTGAGTTCTCGCTGATGGGCGAGAGACGCAAATGTGCGTGCGTACCTGGAGATACACCCCTGCCCCGCCCACGCTCTTCCTGGCGGTGCAGGTATGAAACAGGGGATGCGCGCCCTCTTCCATACGGAGACGACCACCTGGGCGCGGGCTTGTAGGCGGGTCTGTGGCCGATGTATGTGTCTGGCAAGGGAGCGTGGGTGTGGGGTTGGTAGTAATGGGGGGCAGGGGCCACAGGGCGCTCTCGCGGTTCAGGCTGTTCATGGGCCTCCGGAACCAGCCAATACAAGGGGTTGTGTTGAACGTAGGCTTCCTCGTCGTCGAAGTCCCAGATTTCCCTCGCCGAAGGGGCTCGCGACGTAGGTGGTGAAGGCGGTATGGCAGTGGGCGTAAGGACGTCTGGCGTGAGGTAGGCAGTGTAGGAGACGTCGAGGGCGGGCATAGGAGACACTATAGAGATGTCCGAGACTGTATCGTCCCGAGGTAGGGGGATGGGCGGGGGGAAGGTCACAGGGGGCTTTGTACTATGGCAAACACTTTGGCTTGAGGTGTTAGCGTCATGGGAGTTCCTGGAGCGGGGCGCCCTCCGTCCCTGAGAGCGGCGCGGACGCCGGCGAGGGGCCCCGCGATCCGTCACCGCCATGGGGACACGCCCACGCAGGGGACTGGCGGCCTTGCTACCTCGTGAGGAAGAAATGTATCCTTTCGGTGGGGAAGTCCGCACGCGGGCGGGGGACTGTAGAGTGCGCGTGCCTCTCTCCTGCAGGGAAGGCGAAGGGGACGGGCGAGGTGTTCGGTCATGTCGGGGCGTGCTGGTGGCCAACGGGGGCGGCTCCTTGGTGCGCCCGATGCCGTAGGGCGGCGTTCGCATCCCCGACGACGGAGTGCCCCGAGAACTTCCCGACAGCGGCGGGAACACCAGCTTGAACTGCGGCTGCGATTCATGACCGTGCCACGTCGGATATCTCGGAGTCTCCCGCGAAGGTTGTCCTTCGTACGTCCGCGAGAAGTGCCCGTACCCAGCTCGAAGCGGCTGCCTCAGCACCAGATGTTCTCCAGCTACTCCTGAGAGTTCTATAGGAGCTGTTGGGGGCCCGGAGGGGCGGGACGGGCCCCTGGGGTCCCCGTTTAGGTCCCTGGACCCCCGAAAGCACCAGCACGCCACGTCCAGTCCGACAACTGTGGGTGTCCCACGCGCTGGTCATGGGTGCTGGCGGTTGTTTTTTTTTACTCTTCTTTGTGCACAATACAGCACTGTGACGTCACTTCTACATCAGTGCATGACCCGGGGGACGCGTAACTCAGGCGGCCTCCGTGGACCACCCGGAAGTTAAGTGTTTTCCCCATGTCATGTCTAGATGATGCTGCAGAGTGAGGCCCGGGACGCACACCTCTCCCCTCAACAGCATCACCACTACACTAACATTTATATACACTTCACTGTGTAAACAAACAAAATTTTATACAGCACCAATCCTCTTTTTAAAAAATCAGTCCCATACCCTTCTTTCATACGACCTGGAAAGAAAATTACATCTATTGAATCATACACGGGAGCGAACACGCGCTCTCCAAAGCACCGAAACTACACTGCACTGGCCATCGAGAGAGGATGTTCTGCGTTCCATTGCGACAAACAATAATACTGCGAATGCACCAAACATGATGCGTTCGACATCGCGCAGTAACGTGGCAACAAGCGTGTCAGAGAGGAGGAGGAGGAGGAGGAGGCGGTGGCTCTGCAGGGAAGTTCACGTCCGTCCCACACTGACAGGCCCTCACAGACCAGCAACAACCGCAGCGGAGTTGCTAGTTTCCCTCTACCACAGTGACTGGGGGTCCGCCCGCCTTGGGGAGCGACCTACCTCCACCGCCCGCGCCAACACACTGAACGTATTTTTCTCCTCCTTATTATCCACGTCCACCTCTCCTCTTGTCTATATTATCATTGATTTTCTTCCTGTCTTTCTCTCTCTCACTCACACATTCACTCTCCCGCACGGAGTGCTCACTCTCGCACCCGCGCACCTCTAGTTCTCTCGGCACTCTCTCAGCGTGCAGTTTCCTTCCCTCTTCGAGCCGCGGCCGCAACGAGCGCTGTCACTTCTCGCTCGTGTTGTGCGCACCTTTCCGTCCCACTGAATTTCGTTCACCTGAAGAGACCCGTCTGCGGGGGTTTATATTGTGTGTGTGTGTGTGTGTGTGTGTGTGTGTGTGTGTGTGTGTGTGTGTGTGTGTGTGTGTGTGTGTGTGTGTGTGTGTGTGTGTGTGTGTGTGTGTATTTAGAT